GGCAACGTGGAGGTTTGTGTAAATGATTTGAGGGTGATGGTGGGGAAGATTAGTTAAAATGAAAACACAGATTCGGTGCAGAGTGGCTTGAAAGGCAAGTTTCTTAGCTCTTCCCTTCCATCTCTCTCTCCTCCCCCTTGCTGTCTCCTGTACAAATCTTTAGAAGAAAAAACAAAACCCACATTCCAATATCCACTCTGGATGTTTTTAATAAAAATAATCACTAAAATGAAGGGAACAAAAAGTACCAAGACTTTCCCTTCTCACAGTCTCTTCTGTAGTGACCCCACAGTCAGTGCATGCTGTGGAGAGGCAGAACACCCATGCCTGTATTCCTTCTTGGCCTAGGAGAACCTGAACCATCTTCTGCCCTTTCCGGAAAGGTGTCCAGAATATGCTTTTTAGCCTGGAAGTGGAAGAGTGGGACCCCTCCTGCAGATCCTGGATAGCCAAATCTCTTCGGTTTTGTTGGACTTCTCAGAGTTCATAAATAAAAGTGCTGTGTGCCTTTCAATGTTTTAGCTGCTAATTGCGAAAGAAATGCTTCTTCCTGACCTTCAAAAAAAAATTGTGCTTCAAAAATTTGGGAAGGTAAAATACCATTTAAGTGATGCTATTTTCCTTTTGGCCCTCTAGGGCAGTAAGTGAATTAATGTGTAAGATGCTTCCTTCTGTGGATTTGGCAAAAACTGCTGTCAAAGAAGGTAAGACGCAGACAAAGAAAGGTAGATGATAAAAACTTCAGGGAATTCTTGAGGTGGTGACAGCAGCCTTCTCCCCCACCCCGTCTTTAATGAGTCTTTTACCCATCATTATGTTATAAGAGTTCCCCACATCTGTCAATTTGAAGTGCCACTCATCCATCTGGCAGGTTTCTCTTTTTTTTGAGTTAAGAAAATCATCATTTGGTTTTTTGGTTTTGTTTTTGGTCTTTTTCCCCCTCTTTTAAATTATTTCCAAAGTAAGGCCCCTAAAAACATCAGAACAAAACTCAGCTCTTTATTCTCTCCTCCTTTCAGAAGCCAACCCCAGCAGCCTGGTTTTTCAGGGCCATTGTATGAGGCTCACTGGGAGACACTGACGGACTGGAGTTAGAAACTGGTAATGTCCTTTCTAGAAGGAAAGAGAAAAATTTGTGCCTAAAATAGATGACCATGCTGTACTCATTAGTTATTGATGTTATGCTGGACTTCTTTCTTCTATTTCTAAATTGGAGGAAGAGGTGGAAATTTTAAGGGAGGGGAAGGTGTGATCCTATGATTCCTGTTTAAAAGCCAATTAAAGGCAGAGTCTGCAGTCTGATCACGTAAATGCAGGTGGCCTGCACCTGAACGTGCCAAGAGAAAACTGCACTATGGAAACTATCACCCGTTTCGGGCTGATACCAGTTCACTGTACATATGTAATACCCTCAGCCTCGTGCAGAAGTTCATAACTCTGCTTCCATTCTAAAAGCACGGGAATTGGGAAATCTATAGATATTTTTCCCAGCTGGCACGTTACTGATTTTTACACCCTTGCACGCAGCCCAACATGGGCAGGTTTGCAGGCTGTTAGCAATATACAGCCATTACTATAAAGAATACAGGAGGAGTGCTCCAGAGCAATGTCATCCTTAACATTTGTATTCCCTGATGCAAATAGGTGGCTTTATTCTCCTGCAAAACAAGCTTTGGAGGTGAAGAAGCAGAAAACTCTGTTGTTTGCCATGGTGAGATGTGCCACCCCCAAGCCCAGGCTGGCTGCCCTCTGCTGGGGCCCTCTGAGAAGGGGCTGCCCAGTGGGGAAGGGGGAAGAGTTGGTGAATCTATTTTATTTTTTTTTGTGTCAATTTTTAGATGAAGTAGATTTGAATCAGAGTGGCTCCTTTAAGTCCATAGAAGCATCTGAGAATTTTGCTGGTGCAGGTGTTTTTCTCATTGAAAGGCAAGAACAAAACTGCAGTTTCATTGCTGAGGAGCACACCGTTTCTTGCTGGTGCAGGTGTTTTTTCTCATTGAAAGGCAAGAGCAAAAATGCAGTTTCATTGCTGAGGAGCACACCGTTTGTATAACGTGCTTCAGGAAAAGAGAGTTTTGGTACTAAATGACTCTAGTTTAAGTTCGGCGATCGGAAACCTGCCGCTTTAGTGCTGAACCTAAACTTTAAAGTTCCCTACCAAAAGCAAGGAGGTTGAAAAGTAGAGCAATCAAACCTGCTGACCTTCTTAGCTCTTGGCAGGAGGCCACTGGGCATAAGCACAGTCTGCAGTGGAGCAGGAGGAAGGAAGCTGCAGTGATTCCTAGCTCCGTCAATCCTGCCATAGCTCAAGAAAGTAGCTTTGCTGTGACTTCAGACATTACAAATGCGTGGAGGGGTCTCTATCAGGTAGATGTCTTTCTGTTTTGAATAAGTTTTGGTCTAGCATCTCTACAGGAGCCATAGCTCCCAGACTTCTTCCTTGCTGGCTGGTGTTTTCCATTCAGTTTTATTATTTCTAACTAAAATTCTATGATGTGCTCAAGATAGTGTTGCACACTGTCACCTGTGAGATCCCTTGTTTCTGAGGGCTGAGTTGCAGAGCTGTGTCCCATGGAAATCCAAGTACCCGGGAATATCAAAACCCATTTTAAGTATATGTAGCTGTCGCCACATCTTTGCAAAAGAAGGAAATAGGGACTATTGAATTTCTTAAACTTGTACCTAGTATTACCTCAACCAGCCAGCTGTTTATCTCATTAATTGTAACAGTATGTTCCCACTTTGTCATCTGTGGGCGTTAAACATTTGTAATTCATTTTTTTAGAAGGGTATCAGTGCCTGCATGCTATCTGCCTTCCAATTTACTGTTTTTAATAAATTCCTAAATGAATTATTCCGGCTTGGATAGGTCTGGGAGGCTGGACTTGCTGCACTGTTGGCTGGCTGAGCTTTTCTTTTGAAATATTAAGAGTTATAAAAAGGGGGGGGGAAAAACCCTCTTTTTTTTTCATCTTGGAGTTGTTATTTTCAAGTCTGCCAATTTTCAAAGCAGACATGGTAAAAATGTGGGTGGAGAGGTGGATATGTTCAGGGAAGGACGCTTAGGGTGGGGGAGAAATTCTCAACTGGGAAATAAATGTTGGGTGTGCAGAAGCACAGCTTCAGGAATTTGTTATCAGTGTTAATATCCCTTTGGATCCAAGGTCAGATGTCTTCTGTTGAAACTTCGTTTTGCAGTTTCCTGTCTGCTGTTTTGTTGGAGGGCTTGGTCATTCCAACCTTCAGGAGCTGTATTTTGTATTTCGGGCCTTCCTCTGATCTCAGAACCAGCAGCTGACCTTGTCTTAGTTCAGATTGAAAAATTGTCTTGTTCCAGACATAAAATGCTTTTTGTGCTGTTGCCTAGTTTTTATTGAATTAACCACTATTGCTGTTGCAGTTGCACTAGGCTTGGCCTACAGCAAATTAGGTTTCATGTATAGGATGAAGAGGGTTAATTATAAAAGTGCCCATGCCAGCGCAGATGGATGCATCTGTTTGTTTATCTCAGGAAGAAACCCCTTAAAATCATTTGGAAAAAAGACTTCTCCCAGTCTGTGGAGAAGATTGGGGTCTCAACGCTTACCCCAGAAAGTCTTGTTTATATAAACCCTGTGAATTTCAAACAGAAGGAAATCACTAGTTTCTTGGCTTTACTGGTGCTCTTGAATACTAAAATCTTATAATCTGATACAGAAGTCCACAAACGTGCTTGCTAAATTGGATTGGAATATTAGTTTAATGAGCATTGTTCTGTTTTCTTCCTGCACCCTTGAAGAGTGTTTTAAAAGTGCAATTTCATTATCAGAATAAAAATTAGTATATTTTCTTGATTTCTTAAAAAAAGCTTTAGACTTGAAAATTATTTTTCATCTGGTTTATAAAAAGGTCCCTTTTCAAGTTGCCAAATGACAAATATGATTTTTAATGAGAACATTTTTATCTCTCTTAAATGATCTTTTCTGTCTCAGTACTTTCTAGGATTTATAGTTCTGGGTTCTCTGTTAGAACAAGGACAGGAAAAAATAAATCTCTCTAAAATGGAATATAAGTTGGCTTCATTTAGCCTGGCTTTTGCTTTAACAAAGAATAAAATTTTTTTAAGCTCTACAGCAGATGAGATTTGTATCTTGACTCCTGCATATTTATTTTCTCCAGATGGGAGAACAAATACAAAGTCGAATAATACCTTGGATCCTAGAACATGGTTTGAGTGACAGATCTGCTGCCATTGACGGAGTATCTTTTGATGGGGAGATAACCTCACTTCTGTCACTATATGGCAACAATCCCAATATATTTTTCACCACTAAAACCCATAGCATTAATGTAATCATTGACCAGGGGGCAGAATGGCTAGGGACTGACTGCGATACAGCATAAGAACTTTGCAAAAATAAATTATGTACTTGATGTCTCCTGAACACAAGTGTAATTGAAAAGGTGATTTTTATTTATTTATTTATTTTTTACTAAAATTAGGTTAGGAACATGCTGTTTAGTGAGGACTTTTTTGCTGCTTTTTTCAGACTTGTGGCTCATCTCTACCATCTAAATTCATTTTCTTTGTGATATTCAGGGTTTGTGCGTGGGGAAAACCACAGGTCTGTAGATGCAGTGCAGGGAGAGAGAATTTGAAGTCATCTTTGCAGCGTGTCTCTGCTGTGCCCGAGCTGTCATGGTCCCACAGCAGCTGGTGACACCTGCCCAGCTTGGGAAGATCCCTGCACTGGAACATACAGATCCTCTGTTCAGCTTCTAATTCTGCGAGTGTGTTGTGAAAGCGGGTGGTTTTTAAGGATTTAAGCTGAAGGTGGCAGTTTGGGTTACTCTGTCATTTGCACTGCTCGCCCGATGCCCAGGTTCCTCCTGCCACAGAGGGTGACCCTGCACGTTTCTTCTGGTAACCCACACCTGTGTGAGCTCAGTAGTTTCAATTAATCCCTCCTTGACTCTTCATAAACAAAAACTTTAATACATGACTTGGTTTTGTTTTGCAGCTTTCCTGATTTCTGCAGCGACCTGAGGGGGTGCTGGTGCCCAGTGCTCCAGGACTCCGTGCTCTGGTACAGCCTTTACACCAACGCACTGGGGAGAGTAAGTAACCTGCTCCCTGTCTGGGGACTTTCTAGGGTGGGGGACTCTTTCTGCTCTTTTCTTGTCCCATGTCTCAAACACTGAAGTCTCAGATCTCTCGCAGCACAGAGACCAGAGGTACCTGTATTTCTATGCAGTATTTATGTTTATAATGATGTTTGTTAACTAGAAGAGCTGGAGTATCTTCATTCTCCAGCAAGAGCAGTTCTTGGTTTATCCATCCTTGCAGATTACCTGTATTTGTGTGACAGAACACTACAACTTACTCTACCACCTCGTGTGAGAAAAGGTGGTACACAACAGAGGTGTTCTGTAATACTGCTGTGGAGTCAGTCATACTGTGAGTTAACGTGGAAAGCTGTGTTGGATTTCAGTGTACAGCAGAAGTGTAGTCTCCTGCAGCGTGTTCCGTGTGGGTTTCGGAGTGGGAGGGAGCCTCAAACCAGCAGCTGGTTTGTGTCACCAGCTGAGGCCATCTGTGTGGAGGGGTTATCTGGTGGCACGTTCCCAGCAGCCTCTGGTGCTCTGGCTTTCCCTTCCTTCTCATGCGACCTGACAGGCTGAGGACATACTTCCCAGTGCCTGGTAAGCCACGGGGCTTCTCATCTTCAGAAATAAGATAGGTGAGAGGTCTGGCATTGTCTGCCCAAGCACAAAGAAAGGGCTGTTAGCTGGAAGACTTGGGGTAAGCATGTCTGTAGGTTTGCCTGCACCATACAAGCAGTTGTACTGGCAGAGCATCACAGAGAAACTCCAACATTTGCTGCCAGGGGGAGGAAGTTTTTCCATCAGGATTGCTGTCCCACCTTTCTGAAACATAGCAGTGCTCTCCTGGGCATTTGCTGATGTGATCCTTACAAGGGTGTTATTTTGTACAGTCCTAACTGCTGGAGGTGAGCTGGCAGAGCTTGTGCATGCCTTGAGTTCTTGCTTTACTTGTGGGGTGCACAACTGCAGACTCTTACCCTGTAAGTGTCCTCTTTAGCTGGTTGGTTAAAATGTAGAGAGGAGATAAATGCTAGTACCTAGCTGAGACATGGATTTAGAAAAAGATCTTTCATGCTGCATGTTACTTACCCCAAAGAATTCCTTATTTATGAAGGACTTCTCATCCTGAAGAATTTCAGAGATTTCATGGGTTTGGGTTTTTCTTTTTTTCCCCTTAGACAAAGCTATACTCCAGTGAGACAAGATACTTCTTATTAAAGCAGCCTTTGCAGAAAGAGAGTGGTGAGACTGTAGCCAGGGCTAATCTCATGTTTGTACACAGATGTGTGAGATACGAGTGTTTTACCCACAAGTGTTTTAGTGCAGTTTGACGGCTCTGAAGGGCTTGTGTAAGAGTTCAGTGTTAGTCTTGGTCTGCATGCTTTTTGTGTATGTTAATCAAGCAGCCTTAGGGGCCTGTAATACACAGGAGGCCGGGCTAATGATGCAACCTTTCTTTCCAAGTTGCTTCTCTTTAGTTTCTGTAGCTGTTTCACAGATCCTCAGTTCTTACATGGGAACTGAGCAGTATTCTTCCAAAACATAAAGTCGCCATGCACATTATTAATTTGTATCATATACTAGGTCATTCTCATGTCTCTCTTTTTCTTCTTTTTTTTTCTTTTGTTCTTCCCTCTTGGTCCTCTCTTTTTCACTAGAAGAGCCTCTAAGTCTTCTTGCTGTCCTGAGTAATTTTGTGTATCAATAACAGCCTCATAATTTCCCTTAAATAAGTTCCCAGTCTTTTCCCTGGGGAAGAAGCTATTGGGTTGAGGACCTTCACCTTAATAGGACCAGTCACCCTAACTCATTTTGATCCTCGTTGCAGCCATGTCCAGTTTTCCAAGGGACTGTCCATCAGAGCATCTTTAGGGGAACTGCTTCCTGATGCTTGGCTGGCCTCTCTTTTATGGCCAGGAACCCCCCTGCCAGGGCACGGTGCAGCTATTGGCCTGGCCTTAGCTGGGTGTCTTGCAGGCAGCTTTGTGAGACCACCCCTGCTAATTTTTAACCAGCATTACGTGCTTCTCATGGCAGACTGCATTGATGCCAAGCTGAGGGGAGCAGTGTTGTAGTCATTGTTCAGTGCAGTTGAGACTCCTCACCCCAGCTGCTCAGGGAGGGTACAGCTTGCCAGATCCTAGCTTTTCAAATTAAAAGGAAAGGTTACTTGTTTTGTGATAACTGTGGGTTTTGGAGGTACTGGAGCAGCTATCACTGCTTTTCAGAGTCTTTCAGCAAGCCTTGCAGAAAAGGATGGGTGTCAAGCTCACAGTGGAGCTGGTGCTCATCATACTAACAAATGCAATCACAAATACTAACTCTTCTGGACTTCACTGGATGAACAGTTATATGTTTAACATGTCTACGGAATACATTTTAAAGGTGGAAGTCTGTGCCAAGGACAAACTCCATTGGATGCAGCAATAGCTCAGGTTGTCCTTCAGGTCACATTAGCATCTTCCTTCATGCCCCAGTGGGATCTTTGCTGCTAATAACAAGAGAGTTCAGTTTTCACAGCTGTTTTACTTGTTGCTTGGCAAAGATGGTTGCAGGACCTCCATGGTAGCTCCCCAGTAGCATGCTGCAAGCCCTCTGCTGGGGCTCAGCAGTGGCTATCAGAAAGTTCCTGCTATATTATTGACATTTAGGACTGGAGAGAATAGCTGCTTGTTTGCAGAAGATGTTATTTACAAGATCAGGCTAATTCTCTGGTGCCTGATTTGGTTCAGGATAGTGATAGGTTGTGAAGGAAACCCTGGGGGAACTTCTCAAATTGCAGCAGGTGCATGGAATAGCCTGTGCTTCTGCTCCCAGTGTTGTCATTGTTCATCATCACTTTTTGCCACTGGTAACAGCAGCAGAAGATGTAGTACTTGGTAGTATAGGATATGATTCAGCCCTTTTTACTACCTTAGTATATCATATTTTCAAAAAGAAACAAATTTCTTACTGTATTGATAGCAATTGTCCTTACAAACCAAGGACGCAGCTCTTGCCTTGGGGGATGGTGTTGTGGAGAGACCTGAAAAGAAATAATTGAATCTCAGCTGGCTGGTTGTCTTGAGCTGGTAGTTTATTGTCCCCAGACTCATCTTATTTGTCAAAAAATGGAAAGTGGTACCATGAGGTAGAAATTAACATCATTTTAGAAAATGTTAAATAAAATTGCTTTTTTTTTAAATGGAGTATTGCAATATTTAATGTGATTGTTCATGGTTCAGTTAGGATTAGGAAGCATCAATGACAATGCGAAACTCAATTCTGATTATTCTGGCAGATGTTTAATTATTTAAAAAACTGTTTTTTTCCTGAGAATAAGTTCTTCCATCAAGAAAGGTGGAACTCTTATGTGATAACTGTAGATAATGAACCATATCTTGGTTTGTGACTCAGTTAAATTTTTCTTCTTGGGTGCTGAGAATCTTTTCCACTGTGTTGTTGCAGAGAAAACCTGGCACGTGGTGTGTCAGCTTAGGAATGATTTGAGCTGTACTGCAGCAGTTGTCAATACAGTATGGATTGTGAATGGGGAGGGAAGGAGGTACCCAGGGATGTGCATACATTATTCTAAATGCATGTCATCATTAGCTTTGAGGAAAGAATCAAAGAGCCCCAACAAGAGCCAGTCTCATAAGTACTCTCTGTTGTTTGTGCAAGTGATTTCGGTGACTGACACCAGGATAAATCTGCATTCAGATGCCGGCTGGATCACGTCCATTACCTCATTCAACATCCAAAAAGGCTCACTAAAATTTTATCTCGGTATACTAGACATGGGTTTCAAATATGCTTTTAGTTAAATAAAACTATAAATTCTACATTATATGATTTGGCTGTCTCTTGTGGCCATTGTTTTTGAGGGAAGGTGAGGCTAAACAAGTACTTTGACAGAAACTGAATTATAGTTTTCAGTGTAATCACTGCTTTGTCAACTTTTTCAGAAGTATTTCAGTATGACACAAATACATTAATTATGAAGCTTTGTTATAGGGCTATAGAGGTAGTTTGTGTAGCTACCTTCTAGAAAGATGTAAAAAAAACCCTGGCTTTTTATTTCCGTGTTTACTTAACTGTTCCTAAAGTAACTTTTTTTACATGATGCTGCAGAAATAACTCTTTTCAATGTTTCTTTAATTACTAAAATGCTGAGGACTTTTGTACGCAGATGAAGAACAGTTTAGTCGATAGAGGTGTTGTATGAGAGTTCTCTCTATCAAATGGCTCTGCCATAAAACCTGCCAAAACTGGAACCAAAGGAGAGCTTTATTTTGTATACTCCATTGGGATACTACAGCACTGTTGTCCATAGGAATTCCTGATGATTTTCAATTTATTTTTCCTTAGTATCTCTGTGGGTTAAAAAACAAAATGAAAAAACCCCGGAGGGCTGAATTGTTTTCTTGTAAAAAATGTAAATGAGTGTGTTACTTACAAATGAGACTCTTGTCCTTCCTTCTTGTTCAGCAGCAAAAAGAAATGTGCTGTTTCTGTTGCCAGAGCTGTAGCTCTTGTCCAGTTTGTGGCAAATTGACACACTCAGACATGTACTTGGTAACTGCACCTAGAAAAGGGGGCTTTTTAAGGAAAGAAAAAAAAAGTAGAAATAAAAATCCTCATTCATGCCGCAAAAATAATTCATCTGCTTTCAGTTATTCCTGGTTTTGACTCCTTCAGAGAATTAAGGCGGCCAAGAAATTGTGCAGAAAGCAAAGTGAAAAATCTGTTCACAAAGTTTCTTCAAAATCCTACTAGATGAAAGACCTCTTTTCCTTTGAAACTTGCCACCTCAAATCTTAAGTGGGTTTCTTTTTTTCGTTGGTTGTTCTTGTTCTATTTTTTAAAAACCTTTGTCCTCTGGATGTTCTTGTTATTCACTAGCAATGCATTTTTGTAATGCTGATGGATTTTTGTCCGGAGGTGGTGTTTAGATTCTCATTAACCTCTCAGTGAATTGCACAAAAAGCAAAAAATTGTCAATGCTGTTTTTTTAAATGGGAAAAAAAAAAAAA